AAAAAGAGGAACCAATGTAATAATCTGAACAATAAAGATTTAATTAAAAAAAATAATCAATCCCAATATAGGCAAAAATAAGAGAAAAAACAAACACAGAACAGTGGCACAAAGAGATGACATGCTTAAATCCAAAGATATCAGTCACTACTTTAAAAAGAAATGGACTAAAAGCTCCAATTTAAAAGTTTGACAAAGGTTAGATGAAAAAAAAGAAGTCAACTAAATGGTGTTTTTAAAAGACAGACACAGAACACAAGGATACAAAAACATTGAACAACAATCTGTATCACATATGGGAAAAATGGAATGCAAGGAGTCAGTTTATATTAGGTTATTATAATGTATAACAAGAATGACATAGACATAGGGTGTGAGTTTTGTTGTTATTTTTGTTAATCATCACCCGAGGATATTTTTTCCAGGTGAAGAAAAATGGACTAGGATGAGAGGTATAAAGAAATACGGATTTTAGCTGTTTTTGGAGGTAGAAACCAAAACACCTACTAATGGACTTAGCACAGAGATTGTGAGTTTTGGATTTACAGGAAGAGGAGTGAGTGGTGAGGATTCCTCCTTGGAGTACTTTCTTATCATAGTCATGGTTGGCTTAAGCATCTGGCCTACATCTTCCACGCATCAGGAGCTACACTGTATTCTCCAACAAAGATGATGAAGTAGTAGTCAGAGGATTTTAATGAAGAGATAAAGATAGGTTGTAAATAGTTTTATGAAATAAGCAACTGTTTTTCTGACAATTTATTATGATGAACAATTACAAATGCATTTATAAAACAACTGTGTTTTGATTGCATCAAGGTATGATAATTTCAATTTTGGTCCAAATCACTATGAGTCAGCCTTAAAACCTTCAGAGCACCCTATACACATCCCTACCTAATAACAGCTAAAATCACTTCTCAGCAGAATACTGATGTACTAAAGAAGCAAGACAAATGATATCTTTAGGCAGGCATGAATTTCAATTAATTACTGATGCTCTAAAACAAAACAAAACTCAAATGTAGTAATGGAAAAGGGAAATCCTTCCTTTATCTAAAACCAATAAACAAGCTATACTAACGTACAGATTTAGGTAAAGCATGTAATTTTAATCCCTATATGATGTGGAAAATATTTTTATCTTTATAATATATCATGAATAAAATTCTATACTGGTGAAGTTTTGCTCCTTTATTACCATCTTTTTCTATAACATTAACTTTTTACTTTCAAAAATGAGTAAAAGCAACAAAAATAAAATGACCACTCACGTCATATGTTAGTGAATCCGCTTCATTAGCCACAGTGAGGCCTGCCAATTCTCCAAGTCCCAGTTCATTTTCAAGGGCTTCATCTGCTCCCATGATGAATGACTTCCCAGAGGAAGGAGGAAATGTCAGTGCTTCCACTGAAAGAAGACAAAAGAAACACAAAAACACCTCTATAGAGTCAATAATTAATCTTATAAGGGCATGTCTACATTTGATTATTTTAAAATGCTTTTAAACATAAAATTCAGTGAGCAGAAAATCCTGAAGAATTATTTGCTTTTTTTCATATCATAATCATAGCTAAAGGTGTCATCTAATTAGAAAAATAAAACATGAAACAAACCCAATCGTTATTGTCCTTTCTTTTACACTACACAGAAAAATAATGTGTCTAAAGGAGAGTCAGTTTTCCTCACATGATAGTTCTTGCTAAATACCCAAATTATTTCTATCAATTATTAAACATATATAGCAAGTAATTCTGAACACTGTTGGTCTCATTCAAATAAAGTTGTTAATTCTATAACCTGGAGGAATGCAGAAAATTTCAAATAAAAATGGTACGACTGAAACGTGCTGATATGAGGCAAAACTATTACGTAGCAACAGAAATCAGGATACCCTCTAAAGAGGAGAGAAGGGATAGTGATTAGAAGGACTTCTAGGGTCCTGGTCATGTCCTGCTCCTTGGCCTAGAGGCAGTGGTGACATGTTTGGGTTCCCTTTGTAATAATTCACTGAGCTACACTTTGGTGACTTCAGCAGTTTTCTGTAGGTATGTTATATTTCATTTAAGAATGCTTATTTTAAACAAAAATTCTTAAAGTGTCCATTTGAACACTTTTCTTTAGTTTCCAACTGTGCTTCAAGATGTCATATTTATTTTGTGATAAATATAAATACCCTTACTTTATAACACTGTACATATACCAATCCAATCCCTTTAGTCACCATCACAAAAGAACCAGTTAAAAGTAAAATGCTAAATTTATTATATAAAATAAAGATTTTATTTAATTTGACCAATAATAAAATGTCACTTTTTATAAATGCAAACTGTCAGAGGTGGTCACTGTAGTTTTCTATAGGTGGTTACTTCACTGATGACAAGCATTTATGAGCTCATTAGATGAATTTAGTAGTTTAAACTTCGGCTGTTAAAGAAATAAATTTTTTCTTAAAAGTAACAAATAGATTTATTAATTAGTATATGTAGAAAACTGAATTTACAAGGTGTTTTTCAGCAATAGACTCATTCCTATAATTTTTTATTCAGTCATAAATATTTGTCAAAGAAATGAAAGAATAGCTTTGTGCTTTTAAAAGTAGTAGTGGCAGAAACTCTACTGAAAAAACTTTTAAGAACAAAGTGGAGTACAAACTAAGTTATCTTCAAACCACCATGCTTTAGTTATTATTAAAGCAGCAATAATACAAATGGGTTTTACCAAAACATACCATATGTCCTCTGAGGAAATTCAAAGAACCCTGAACATTTACTAATGATGAGGGGATTATTTAAATTAGAAAAGCAATTTTCATGCCAAAATTTCAACCACAAGATTCATGCAAGACTGAGACTAGGTCTTCAGCCAGGTGTTTTGTTTTCTATCATTTTCATATAACTTTATGCAGATGTTAAACAAAAATTACTCCTACAAAAAAAGACAGATTTGTGGGATTTGACCATACATATTGTTTGGGCTAATTTAGCTAGTGCTCAAGAAATGGCCAAGAAAAGCCTGAAAACACATACCAGTGGCTAAACTAGCAGCCTTGAGGGTTGAAGAGAGAAAGCAACAATAGGCATAACCTTATTTGATTGCTAAGATTTCTTAGAACTTAAGACTATAATGCACCTTAAGTATGGCACTACCTCCTCAATTAATAAAATAAAAATAAAGAAATGTATATAGCACACAAAGGCCATGGAAGCTTTATCTGAAATGGCAAAGATGTTCTAAGCTAGAATTTAGAGTTGGTTTTTAAGTTTGTGTACCCCTTTTTAGGTCTTAAAGATTGAAGTTGGAATCAAACCCCAGTGAATATAAGATAATCTAGATTTGGGGAACGACAAGTATTGGTAGAATACAATTCTTCTTATAGAGAACATTTTCTAATAGGAATTTAGATATGTATATCCAAGTGTTTTTTGTGCTCCAGAGTGTCTTAAATACTCGCCTTCATCTGCTCTATTTATTTCATGTTCAGGAAGCCTGGAGCTGCTGGGTCTGGAAGGTGAACCCACAGATGGCTGCAATGAAGGAAGTTCATCAACATCTCTCAAATTAGCAAGCATATCTTGTAGTTTTGACCTATTGGGCCCTAGCCCAAAAAAGGGAGGGAGAGAACAAAAGAGAGGATATAGAATTATTCAACTGCATTGAAATGGTGCCATAAACTTTATTCACCTTTAAAGCTACCCTACTATATTAAAAAGTAATTATTTTCCAAATTTTCAAATTATTTTAAAAGTTTATTTCTTGAAAAGACATTTTACATATATTTTTAAAATTAAGTTAATGAAATATCACCACTATTTGTATGAAAAAAATGTTCATGTGCAATTTCAACCATTAAAAATAATATTCTATCACTATTGCATATTGGTCTAAATTCAGACAGACACCACAGACTGTGAAGCTATTGCTGTATACCAAATTAAACAATAACATCACTTTTTGTTTGTTTGCTTAAATTAAGTTGCATTCATTGCCTGACATCCTGAAGCTATGGTACCCGAAGTGAAGTCTCATGCCCTGCTGATTACTTACCTGAAACTTGATTCTTCATTCTCCCACATCCCTGTTTTGACTGTTTTATATAGGATAGAGGCTGAAACAGATCTTCGGTAGTTTTTCCTGTTATAAGTTTAATTAAGAATGGGAAATCTTACCCATAGTCTGTTATGTTTTTTTCCTATACCAGCATAAGCAATTTTAACTAATACCTAGAAATATATTTCAAGACAGCATGACTGGAGTACACAATTTGACTGGAAATATATCTACTAGACCATATTAAAAGAATTCAATCTTTCCCAATGAGTAAATAGTTCAATTAATACAATATTTATAGATTATAAATTAATGCTTCATTTATAGATTCAAAGTTTTGTTTCAGTTCTTTTTATCGTCTTGACTTGTTCCCAGACTACCATTTATCCAGATAATATGAACTGACAATGAAAACAAAATGTGCTGAACCTGTCTATAGCCTCTCCAGCTTCAAGAAAAGACATTAAAATTTTTCCCCAGAGAGTCATTTTTCCTCATCATACTAAAAAACTTTATGCTTTATGCCTAAATACTGATCATAATCCCTACATTCAGGAAATAACTTCTATTAATAGGAATACTGTTCCAGTCAAATGGTGCAGTTTTAGATCTTAAAGTGCTAAATTTCAACTACAGCAATGCCTTGATATTTGACAAGAACTGAACAATCAATATAATAGTACGTGGGTTCTACGTAAGTCCTGATACCATTCCAATTTAAAGATCTTTTACATTTCAAGACATTATTGCAGCATAATGACTTAAAGAGATATATCAACTTTAAGTCAATCTAAAAATTAAAATATTCTTTTTCTCATATATGATATACAAATTTTCCTCAAAATTTCAGTTTAAAGGGGTTGGTCATCAATTTATTTGGATAAAAGGTACAAAATATTCTTATTTTAATATTTATATTGATTTAATTTAGATTGAGAAGACATCAAATGACATCATCTCTCAGTTATGTAATGGTTGGCACAATGATAACATCAAAAACGGTCACTGACTTTTATCCATTCAAACTTACTTGTAAATTCTAAAATATTTTAAATAAACACTTAAATGTTTTCCAATAACTACCAGGTTGTAAAAGAATGTCCTAACAGAAGTGACTGGTCTTTGATAAGCTTTAGCATCACTACAAAAAGAAAAAATATATCCTTCCAGTCTTCTACAACTTTTAAATACATGTTTTACTAAACTGGATTTTAATCTCACTTTACACTACTTTAATATCCCAAAGGATGAAATTCCTATTGCCAAAAAAGGAAGACCCACATTCATACTGTCAATAAGAGGAAGCACAAGGAGGTAGTTTCACCTTGTTCTCCTAAAAAGGTGTTTAATGTTTTCAGGGATGTTTGAAAGCTTTTGTATTTCCACTTTACAGGCTTAACTAGAGCTATTGCTAAACTTTATTAATAGTTTGCATAGTGAATTATATATATGATTCACAGGGCTAGAAATTTAATTTTAGCTTCTATTTTTCATGTGGCACACATTTTATTGAAAACAAAAAAGCTAATTGGTAATGTTATAAATGGAACTGGCCAAAAGTTTTAAATTAATAAATACTTTTAGAAATTGTGTACTTGTGCCCTGTATAGCATATAATGGTGAAAGCAAATGAACTGTGTGTTATGAACACATAGAATATTCAGGGGTAGAAATTAACTTTCTCTCTGTCTCTTAATTCTAAAATTATAAGCAATAATTTTGGTGGATTGCCAGAGGGTCAAACTAGATGAGATTTAAAACTGTCTAAAACTGTCAACAGTGAAAAATCATTATTGTAATTTAAGTACAAATATTTTTAAAAATCAAATTATCACTATGTTTGAATACATAGTCCCACACTCTCATGAGGCTCTGGATTTATTACTGAAATACGTTATGATTCCACAATAATATGCACAGTTTTTCTTTTTTCTTTTAAAGTTCATAATTGCATAGCTAACCATTTAATTTCAACCCCTGAGAGCAAGTGAAAAGGAAAAGGTCAGGAGTAGAAAAGAAAAAGAGTAAGTAGTTTTAGGAAAACATTGAAAAAAATTGGGGGATATGAAAGAGGCAAGATTTATGATTTACAGATACAATGTTTTCCACTTACTCTTCACCCCCTTTTTCCCCTTTCTCTCCTTTTTGTATTGTTCCTTGAGTTTGGTAATTACTCCCTGGTCCACATTCCAAGCTTCAGGCATGAGACACTGGTCTTCCTTTTCTAAACAAAGTAAACAAATGAAACAGCCTTTTTCAATGAAATATTAAACACTGTAAGTCAATAGTTATGAATGACATAACTATTTTCTCCTTAGTATCATTAACTTAAAAAAGACATTAGCTATATGTCACACGAAACACAGTATCTAAGAAATGGTGACCAATTCAATTTCCTAGGTAATAATATTAAATTTCTCCTGAAAGAGACATAGAAAAAAAGCACACACACCTGGAAGATGTGACTTTTATTAAATTAGGCCCCAAAATGCTATAATCAGGAACCCCTCATTTTCATCCCATTTTCTGAATTAAATTAGGATTGAATCACAAATTTTTTTATTAATTTACATAATGAGAGATTATTATTAAGAGATTATACAAATAGACTTCAATGATCTTTTCATTTGGAAAATTTTATGTTTTGGCATGTGTTCATCAACAAATGACCATTTTTATTTTATAGGACTTATAAGGAATACTTGAAAACTTAACCTACATCCAAAATGTATACAATTTAATCAATCTAATAAATTCCTTAAATGGAAACAAAGCTTCTAGTAAGAAAAAAATTACAATCACTAATTTTCACTATTTTGGGAGAAGAAAATTTAAAGAATAAACGTTATATATATTATACTTACTATAAAATAATTTATATACTATATAATGTCATGTGTTAGCTCAGAACTCTCGCTTGAACTCAAGACTCATATATCCAACTGCTCATTCTACATTTCCATTTGGAAGTCTAAATAGTATCTCAAACTAAACAAACAAAATCAAATTCCCAATCTTCCCCATCCAATCTGTTCTATCCACAGGATTCCCCATTTAATTTGCTGTAATAGTTGTCCTCTCTCCCCACCAAGTCTATTATCAAGACTGGTTGCCCTGGGTTCTTTATACAGCATCCAGAGTAATGCTTTAACATAAAAGTCAAATCCTGCCATCCTTGTGTTCAAAACCCTACATGATTTGGTCACTTCTTACTATATTCCCCTTAGAAACACTCTGCTCCAGCCACTCTAGCTTCCTTGAATTCCTCAAGCATATTATGGCTGCTGCTATCTTAGGGCATTTGCTCTGGCTTTCTTTTTCCCAAACACTTTCTCCAGATACCATATCCCTAACTTCTCTCATCAAGTCTTTTGCTCAAATGTTATCCTCTCATGGCACTTACCATGTACACCTTATTTTAAATTGTAATGACTCCACACCCACCACTCTCTATCCGCCTTATTCTGTTCTACATTTTCTATTTTCCATTGCATTTATCATCTTCTGACATACTATTCATGTACTGTGCTTAGTGCCTATATCCTCATACTAGACTGCAGGGACAACAGGGATAGAGATCCTCACCTAGAACACTTGCCACACAGAAGGCATTTGATCAAAATTTGTTGAATGATTGGACTAAACCAAAATATGCCAGAATAAACAGTAATCTGTTGGGTGGCTTCTGGATCCTCAAATGCCTTCAGTTGTGTGATTTTAAATTAGTCTTAATTTTTTAAAAATAAAAACATTATCCTTATTATAATCTTAACTAGACTTATAATAACAATAGCAATGAAAGGTCATAGAAGTTGTGTGGTACAATCTATTTACTTGGCAGAAACTAACAAGATTCTTAACCTAAGCATATTCACCGTTTTAGGGGTGTGAGGAGGGATAAAGGAAGCACTTAAAATGGTTTAAATGTCCATTCAACTACACAGGATTTGCCATTTAGTTTTGTTAATTGCTTAAAAGTGGAATGCTTTGATTTAGAAGTATAAAACACATAAGATCAAAGTCCTGGTAAAGAAACCTCCAGTTGACTGAAAGATTCCATTCACTCATATTCATAAACAAAAATACCCAGTACACTACTAAAGAGTGAGACAGCTCAGATGTGGGAACAGTGCCTCAGATTTTCACCAGTAACTCTGTAGCAGGCTAGGTTAAAATGTACACACGGGTATCATATAATACTAGAGGCCCAGTGCACAATTTGTGCACGGATAGGGTCCCTAGTGGCTGCCAACTGCTGGCCAGGGCCTCCCTTACCACGATTGGCCGGCCAGCCCTGCCCCCTGGTCAAACTCTCAGTTGAGGGGACAATTTGCATATTAGGTTTTTATTATATAGGATATGTAAAAATGTGAACAATATAAATTCAAACAAAAAGATGAAATGATATGTTTTAAAACAATTTTATTTTATTCATTCTTTTTTTTGTTTAAAATTTTGACACATATAAGCATTACATTTTTGTTCATATTTCTCAACAGTCACACTTGATGTCTGCATTTTCCAATATGATTTCTTCATAAATATGGCTTTACCTAAGTTCTTCTACAATAGAGTAATGAGAAACAAGGGAAATAGGAAGTCAAGTAGGAATTGACTTCTACTTCAGTGAGTGAATGAGTGAATGAATGAGCAAGTAAGTGAATGAGCAAGCAGCTACCAGTGGGGATAGTTCACACTCTGCTCTGGGCTGCCTGACCCAAACCCCGGGAAGTTCCCACCCTGCTCTCAGCGGCCCCTTGCCCCTCTCCTGGCTGCATAGTTCATGCAGGGCAAAGGCGGCCTGGGTGTGCGTGTTGGCAGATCAGTGCATTAGCACCCACCAACCCAGGATACTGGGGAGGGCCGTTTGTGGGCGTGCCCGGTGGTGGATTTGTGCAGGAGGGCCATTTGTGGGGGTGGCCAGTGACGGATCGCTGTGGTCCCGCCCACCAGCACTGGGTCGGGTCCCATACGGGCCACCTGCCGTTCGGGTCGCAGATAGCAGGCCCGGATGGCAGCAGGGCAGGCGGGATGGCGCTGTCCCTCCCTGCCTGCAGTATGCCAATTAGCCGCCATCTTTGTTGGCAGTTAATTTGCATATCACACTGATTAGCCCATGGGAGGCGTAGCAAAGGTACAGTCAATTACCATGTTTGTCTATTATTAGATAAGATGTGGCCCATAACTCATGCATTAAAGCTAAGGAAGTTACATATAGGACAGTGCAGCTGTCTTTGGAGGAAAATGAATCCCAATCGCCACTGCAATAAGAATGGCAATGAAAAGGGCCAACTATTATTATTCAGATGTATGACTCCTTAAAGAAAGACCTTTGTGTAGCACAGTGGATCTAGCTATATTGGTAGAATTGTTGCCTGAAATATCTGAATAACTTGATATATAAGCACATTAGGGAATAAGACAGAAGAGACACTCATTTTACTTTAACTTCCTCTGATTTCCAAACTTTGTTCTGGGGAGGGGGAAAGGTCAGTCACTAAAATAGCCATTATATTCGCCATATTATGATTTTAAGTGACTATCCCAAATAATTCTTCAAATATTTGACATGAAAAAGAAGTGGTATTAACATTATCAGATCCCTGAAAGAAAAGGGACAAGAAAATATTAGGATAGTTATTCATTCTCTAACCTTATCAGTCTTTAAAGTGCATAGACTATAAACTAAGGGTGTTCTAAAATTCTTTAACCTCAAGAAAATTTTCTCTCATTCCAAAACACTTGTTTTAACTCCTGTTAGACATTTAAAATAGTAAACACGCTTAGAACAATTCACACACAAAATCTGATGCCTTGTGCAAACTGACAAAACCTGACTGGAATGATAACTACAATTTTTAAACTTTATTTCTTTTTGTACAGAAGATGCCAGAGATGAGCTCTCTAAATCCTCTAAAGCAGCAATTTTCAACCTTTTTCATCTCATGACATACACTAATTACTAACATACTGCAGCACACCAAAATATATATTTTTTGCCAATCTGACAAAAAAATAGGTATAATTTTGATTCATTCACACTGACGGCTTTTGCTGTGTTGGCTGATATTTTTTCTTTTATTTGACAATCTAAGAGAAAAGAGATCAGTGCCCCTGACTAAACAGTCAGGTATCGTATGTTTTAAAAATTCTTGCAGTGCCCTAGCCAGTTTGGCTCAGTGGATAGAGCGTCGGCCTGCGGACTGAAAGGTCCCAGGTTCGATTCCGGTCAAGGGCATGTACCTTGGTTGTGGGCGCATCCCTAGTGGGGAGTGTGCAGGAGGCAGCTGGTCGATGTTTCTCTCTCATCGATGTTTCTAACTCTCTATCCCTCTCCCTTCCTCTCTGTAAAAAATCAATAAAAATATATATATATTTTAAAAAAAAATTCTTGCAGCACATCGCTGCTCTAATACATTGTCATATTCAATTTCCACAAAATCTAGATTTGCAAGTTTTACTATCTAGGCAGAAAATAGAAAACATTCTGTATGTGAATTCAAATTATTTTCATACCGTATTCATTTTTTAAAATGAAATAATTACTTATACAATCTTCTTTAAACACACACAATACACACACACACACACCCTAGACAAAAGGTGATGGTAATGAAAAGTTCATTGCATCAATATTTCAACTTATAAGAGATTTAAAGTGTTCTTTAAGATGTTTCCCTCCTGGAAAAAATATTTGTTTCTTTTCTTTACATAATGTCTCTGGTTGGATCCAGTACCCTTCCTTACCCCAGTCTGTTCCGTCACCTGCACTTCTAGATTCACTGTCGCCTTCCTCTGATGTAACCAAGAAGTCAAACTCCTTTAGAGCTTCTTCTGTATCTCGATCGTCACTGCTCTGAGGCAATGTTTTTTTCCTAACAATCTATTGAGAAAACATGCCAAATTAAAATGTATTATGGAAGTAATTTAAATAAAGGAGAAGGTACCCTTTTACCATTGAGTGACAAAACCCAATTAATTGTTTCCTTCAGAAAGTGTATCTTTGTAATACCTATTCAACAGTGGAAAACAGATGTCTCTTTAAAAAGTGTATAGACTATAATATTATACATTTTAAAGTAGTAATTTAAATTTTGTTCAATGATTTCTTACTGTAAATAAACTAATGGAGTCATATATTGAAAACACTGGAATATAAGACACCTATTTAAATTAGATAGATAAAAATATGTACTCTATTATAAGAAACACTACCAAATCTTGTATTTCTTGGATACAGTTTGTTCAAAGAAAGAAACACTTCATAAAACATTGCAAGAGCTTTCAGAATATAACCATGATCAATTTTAACTGTAATATATCATTCCCTTATAAAATTTACAATCACAAAAACTAAAAACTCAGTAATGCATGCCTTAGACTTAGAAACTATTCTGTTCGTGGCCTGGAGGGGCGGGGGGGGGGGGGGAATAGGAAAGGAATTCCCATTATTATTTCTACTGTCCCAGCCTTGCATCAATTTTCTCCAATAACTCTCTATAATATTCAAGTTTTTCCTAAAATATGGATGTTTCAGAGTGAGACTTGACTTAGATTTAATAGCAAATCTAGTAAGGGCTGTAATATCTCATTTTTATATATTTAGGAATCTCTAGAACCACAAATCCAGTTGGAAGATTAAAACTTAGCCTTAATGCACGCAGAGATGATTTTTTAAAACAACACATTTTTATTGATTTCAGAGAGAAAAGGAGAGGGAGACAGAAATATCAATGATGAGAATCATTGATCAGCTGCCTCCTGCACGCCCCCTACTGGGGATAAACCTGGGCTGTGCCCTGACTGAAAATCAAACCATGACCTCCTGGTTCAGAGGTCCACGCTCAACCACTGAGCCATACCAGCTGAGCCAAAGATGATTTTTGAGATCTATATGCCAATACTTTTTATGAATTATCTCCTTTTTGGTCACCTCCACAACCAAAAGCCCAAACAAATTAGGACAACTGATTTGCAGCTTCTTTTGAAAAAATGGACTCAGTATCTCCACTTCTCCAGACCTCAGCTTCTTCACTTCATGTAAAACAGAAATAGCATGATCTGATCAACTTCATCACTGGACTATTTTGAGTAGTTTAAACATATAATGGTTCAACATACAGATCAATGGGTCAGACTAAAGACTCTAGAAGTAGACTCTAAGAAATAACAATTACCTGACTTGGATGGCCCTGCTCTCATGCTCATGACTGATACCACTTGTCAATCACAGCACTTTTAATCTAAGGCCAGATACAGCCTCAGGAATCCTTCTCAATGCACACTCCAGGAAGCTACTATCAATAGAAGAAAGCTGGCACAGTGGGTGAAACCTACTCTGCCTTTCCTGGTATATAGGAAAACTGAATAGGAGAAATCAAGGATTCTTAAATGATGCTAGAATAATTGGTTTGACTATTTAGAATATTTCCCTAAAATCAAGAAATGCTATAAAAATATCTGGAACCGTAAATTCAGAGTCTAAATGTATTTTCAACACTAGTTATTACTAAGTATGGTATTAAGTCACTCAACTAACTCTTTGGGGGGGAAAAACTCTTTCTAGGTCTCACCTCCTCTATATAACCTAACGAAGAAGGAAGATAAATGGCAAGATGAAAACCACTGTCTGTCAAGTATCCCATTTAAACAAATAAACAAAAACTCCTGTATTTTTAATGGCGAGACATAGGAAAAAAAGTGAACTGTGGTTACCAATGGAGAGTAGATTAGTAAATGGGAATGGATGGAGTTTATTGTAATAAGCATGTATTACTTTTCTTCCTTATATCTAAGGTTCCACCCCATTCCTGCCCAGAGAAACAATAATCTGGAAATAATAATTTGACAGTCTCTGATGGAAGCAGAGGGCATGAAGAACAAAGAAGTCACACTTAGAAAATACTTATAGTTAAATATATCATTTTCATATAGTGTCTCATATTCTTCACAAAATCCTCTGGGGAGATGGGTGTGTATTATAATCCTCATTTTACAAACTAAAAAGTTTAGCCTGAAGGATTAATAAGCACAGATAATTAGTAACAGAATTGGGACTTAAACCCAAGGCTTTTGACTTCAGGTTCAGTCTGCTTTCTATTACCTTACATTCCTCCTCCCTCTTCTTAAATAAAAGTGGAAGAGGAAATGTGAATATTTTCCTAGTCAAAGCAAAGCATGCTTTCATCTCTTACTTTAAAAATAGGAGAAAGAAAAGGAGGTAGAAGGAAGAAGAGAAAGAAGGGAGTTGAAGAGGAAAAAGAAAAAAGAGGAGGAGGATAGAAGGGGATAGAATAGAGAAGGGAAGAGAAGTGAGAAAAAGCAATTTAGAGACACCTCTTATTGTAAGAAACTACCAAGGGAGAGTCAATAAACTTACAAAGATGTAAGCAAAATTACAGAAAAACCCTAAACTAGCTTGAAGAAACCTAATGGAAGAGTTCTGAAAGTCTGTAGAACTTGTCTACCAAAGCAACCCTGACAAGAAAACTGCATCAATTATCAATTAGAGTTGATGCCAGTCGCCATTAGGCACCATAATGGGTCTGTCAGTTCTATTGTCTTATAGCAGCGAATAACACTGCATTGTTATAACACACAATGTTTACCATATTCACCAGCTCTATAGAAATGTTTAAATGTTTAATGAATTAACAAAAAGTCAAAAAATGAGGCCCTTAACAGAAAGCTGCTATACTAAAAATACTCCTGAGTGTGCAATAAATACTAAAAACTTTTATACTGCTTCAAATTCATGAAAAAAATAAAGTTACGGGTTTAGGTTGAAAGATATGTATTATTTTTACAGTATGCATACGAGTCCCTAAAAATAATTATATCTGAGTTATCCAACTCACTGTTGAAGTATCAATGACGCTTTTCTCTCGTCCATCAATGTCATCATCTTCGTCTTCATCACTGAAATCTGCAGCTGCACTTTCAGGGAATTTGAAATTATCCAGCACAGAGGCAGAATCTGTTAACTCAGATTTCCTGGTTTAAAACATGTACACCTTGCTCAGTTAATTTTTTAAACTCAACATAAGAATTGATCTGTAATATGATGCACTACCTTCTGTTTATATTGTAACTACATTTCCTCAAATAACATTATGAATGACATTGATTCTTATCCATGAAAGTATAATATAGGAAGTGATTACTTTTTAAAGTACTTTGCAACCCTATCTATTTAGATTAATGGTAATCTAATGTAAAGAACCCCTCTTAATTCAGATGTATTTTGATCCTAGGTTAACTTTCATGTATTTCTTCTGTAAAATATTTTTTCTCTCTGCCACAACTTTATTCTATTCTTTTCCTCTATGCTACTCTTCCTATGACACATAAGTTTCCATAATATGCCCTAGACAGTTTGGCTCGGTGGATAGAGCGTCAGCCTGCGGACTCAGGGGTCCCACGTTCGATTCCGGTCAGGGGCATGTGCCTTGGTTGCGGGCACATCCCCAGTGGGGAGTGTGCAGGAGGCAGCTGATCGATGTTTCTCTCTCATCGATGTTTCTAGCTCTCTATTCCTCTCTCTTCCTCTCTGTAAAAAATCAATAAAATATTTTTTAAAAAAGTTTCCGTAACTAGAAAATATGTCATTTTTCTCTGATGCTATCTTATATTTCTGAACAGCTGACGAGCTGAAAAAAAGCAAATGTGCACATCACGTTACTAAATACAATATATTATTCAAATCAACATTTCTACAAAACTTCATCCTATTGGTGAGCATTAAACTTTTGGAAATGATTTCAAATGTGTAAGATTTTAATTTAGTTCCCTAAAAATAAATCTAGTAAACAATTTCCTAATGACCAGAAAGGATAATTTCTCTCTAGTTTATTAAAAAATATTTTAGAAACGAAGGTATGTCTATGAAAAAATATAGCCACACCTATGGACAAAATTTTCAAGACAAATAATAAATTTCAAATCTGCTGGAAGCTACGTTTGAGGTTTTTCCACCCTATTCTTCATCTCTACATAATTAGACATTCAGAATAATATCCTTGTCAGCTTCAAAAGATAGGTCATACCAAAACACAAGACAACTAAAGTGGTCTTTTCTGAAACCTTTATACTGACTTGTTAACCCTTTTCAGTGGTTCTCAACCTTCTGGCCCTTTAAATACAGTTCCTCATGTTGTGACCCAACCATAAAATTATTTTCGTTGCTACTTCATAACTGTAATGTTGCTACTGTTATGAATCGTAATGTAAATATCTGATATGCAGGATGGTCTTAGGCGACCCCTGTGAAAGGGTCGTTCGACCACCAAAGGGGTCGCGACCCACAGGTTGAGAACCACTGCTTAGGTAAAACTATAAGCAAGAATGCCTACATTGTCTATGTCTACATAGAGAAACAATCTACATCTCACATTTATAAAAACAATTTAATGTAGTTTTAATTATTAATGAATATATTTAAGAAGACTCTAATGACATCTGTTTACAAAAGTCATATTTTTGAACCTTTACCTAAATCTCATAATTTTAGTTTATGGTCCAGAGAACAAAAACTATGTTCTCACTAGAACAGCAATTTTCAACCTTTCTCATGTCATGGCACACATAAACTACTAAAATTCTGTGACACCAAAAAATATATTTTTTGCCAATCAGACAAAAAAAAAGGGTATAATTTTTATTCATTCACACCGCATGGCTATTGTTGTGTTGGCTGTTATCATTTTTTCATTTGACAATCTAAGGGAAAAGCCATCAGTGCCCCTGACTAAATAAACAAAAGTGGCTAAGATAAGGTTTACTTCTAAAGGTTTACTTCTTAAAAATTTTAACTGAATTTCCAAAATAAGATCTTTAATGAAGTTCTAATAGTAAGTGACTAAGTTTTAGGATATTAAAATCTGTATTAAATCCATAAATTTCAAGCAAATATCTTAAATAAAAATATTCTTAAAATATCATAAACTCTAATCACTACATGTTATCTTATAATAAATGGATTTTAAATTCCTATTAAACCTTATTATAATTATTTCTGTAGCAGTATCTAAAAGTGCAAGTACCATAAATATCACCCATAAACCAAATATATTTAATAAAAACTAAAGTTATAGCTAAAACACTTTCCAGACAAAATACTTACCCAATCATTGCTGTATCTTTAACTTCACCTTCTGTGCCATTTATAAGTGAGTCCTGATTTTTGTCATCTTCTCTGTCCGTGACATCACTTGAAAAGCCCAACAAAGCTCGCACTCGTTTAGACTTCACATCTAGAATAGTATCTGTGTATCCCACCTCCTGTAGATACCTGTGTATAAAGATGATCCTTACAATTCAGCCATACTGGATCAGCATTCTATAACTTAATACATAAATAAAAGTATTTCTTTAAATTCAATGCCTGCATAGGATTTAACAGAATAGTACCATGCTAGTATGACTTGCTAATAAATAATCTTCCAGCTGCAGATGGAGCTGTCTCTTGCAGTACCAGTCTCTACCGTCACTGAGAAAAATCAAAGAACTATACAATACACCATTCATTATATTTATCATAAAAAGAAACTGTTTCTTAATATACCTAATAGCACATTCTTTCTTCTAGGCAGGGTTGGAGCAATCTCACTCTCAGATAAATTACTATTTTATGATAGTAGTTGTTATAGTCAGTAGTCTTTTTACATTTCTGATGTAAAGTGTCACTGTTTAAGATCTAAAGAGAATGTTTCTGGCATACATAGTTTCCTCTATGACATACAATAAGACAGTATAATCCAAAGAATCACTTCTACAGAAGGAACTCTTCTATCCTGGGACAACTGTAAAATGAAAAATGCAGACCACAATTCAATTGTGGAATGTGTAATGCCTGGGTACACAGGAAGAGGGGCAGCAGCACAGAATAAAAGAGAATAAGCTTTGTATTAGCCTAAATGGGTGCAAAGCCCATTTCTGCCATTTTCATTCTGTTACTTTAATTCTGCTGAACCTCAGCTTTCTTTCCCTTAAAAGAGACACACTTAGTACAGTGCCTGGTATATAGAAGGCACTCAATTTCTATTAACAAAAAAAGATGACCAAAAAAAAAAAACCAAACCCAAAAAGCGTAGTGGCAGGAACATTAAAAAGGTAAGTGTCACTAAAAGCACCATTAATAAAAGTGACTGACAAATGTCAGGCATTAACTTATAAGTAAGCATCAGTCTATGGGATGAGAGAGAAAATAAAGGTGGACAAGATAAGCAGTCTAAGGTCAATTTATTTCAAGACCTGGCATTAATAGTTATTATAGCTCAAAGAGATATCTCACAAAGATATGTGACTAAAATGTAATAAGTGCATCCTATCAAATTAAGACATTCATTTTTCAATCCTATTCAATATTTATAGAAAGGGTTTGATTAAAATTTGGATAATAAATTTCTAACTTCCCTAAACTTAATCAGTTGTTCTTACAAACTAATACAAAGGTATTATGTTTTTCTATTTTTAACAAATAATATTTAATACATACTTCACATTGGCAGCAAAATCACATTACAAATAACTGTTTCGAAAACTGCACTTTCCATAAGTTGGCTTTACTAAATGGTTACTTCCTCATTCACTGATAAAATGTCATCTTTCCTTTTATTTTTTTAAAAATATATTTTATTGATTTTTTACAGAGAGGAAGGGAGAGGGGTAGAGAGTTAGAAACATCGATGAGAGAGAAACATCGATCAGCTGCCTCCTGCACACGTCCCACTGGGGATGTGCCCGCAACCAACGTACATGCCCTTGACCGGAATCGAACCTGGGACCTTTCAGTCCGCAGGCTGATGCTCTATCCAGAGCCAAACCGGTCAGGGCTCACCTTTCCTTTAAGGGACAGATTATGAGTCTTCTAAAGTTTTTGCAAATATCTCTTGGATTGCTCACTATTACAACTTCCCATTAAAAAAACCCCAGCAGATTAAGAAGACGTATTTATTTATAAAAAGAAAATGCATAAATCATATTTAAGACCAAAGTCAAGGCACTAGTGAAAAAATCCACTTATTAAATACTAGTGAGCCCTACCCACTTTGGCTCAGTGGACAGAGCATTGGACTGCAGACTGAAGGGTCCCAGGTTCAATTTGGGTCAAGGGCACATACCTGGGTTGCAGGCTCGATCCCCAGTAGGGGACGTGCAGGAGGCAGCCAATCAATGACTCTCTCATCATTGATGTTTCTATTTCTCTCTCCCTCTTCCTTCCTCTCTGAAATCAATAAAAATATTTTTAAAAAATAGTTTAAATACTAGTGAAATCTCACTTTCTTTTAACTTCAAGTAGATTAAAAAAATAGATATATGAAGACATTTTATTATTCCCTTCCCATCACCAAAAGGAATGGCTGGCAGGCATCCACTTTGGAAATTATAGATTTAGAGTATTCACAAGCGATCTGAAAAGTCCAAAACAAGCAGCAAATTTCATTTTACTGAGGCATAAACCTGAATACCAATTTTAAATGTGATATGCAAGGACCAGGTACTGAGCTGGTGAGTAGGTCTCGCCCACCACCTGACATCTGAACCTCAACCCAGCTTTGCTCCCTCCTTATACTCAACTACCCATTTCATAGGAGAAAGTACATGTTAGTGCAATATTTGCAAATAGAGGGAAATCAAAAAGTTCTTCAATCAATTAAAAACACAAATTTAGGGGGCAGGAGGGGTGGGGGGTAAGAGATCAACCGAAGGACTTGTATGCATGCATATAAGCATAACCAATGGACATAAGACACTGGGGGGTAGGGGAGGCCAGGGGACTGTCAAGGGCGGGGGAAAAAAGGAGACATATGTAATACTCTTTGTAATACTTTAAGCAATAAATAATTTAAAAAAACAAATTTACATATAAATACTAATTAAACCTATATTAAAACTTGTTCTTTAAACTATAAATTTAAGTGTATGTAAAATCTAGAAGCTTAAAATTATACTCTTTTTGATGAATCTAAAATAATGAAAAGTATTTATGCCTTATAATTCTTATTAATATTTAATAATTTATAAATTCCACTACCAGGGGAAAAAGTGTTTAATATGAAAAAGGAAAAGTAATTCAATTAAACTTTTCACAGCAGCAGCATAAAATGAGAAAAATTATTCTGAGTTGAAAATACAAAACAAAAATAATCTCATGAAAATACATGATGCTTCTCTTTAATTTGACCAGGAGTTACTTACTGTCTGAGTAGTTGACGACCTTGTTTCCACATTAACTGGCTATTTTGTTGTGGCTGCACCTCTGTTTCATTACCTTCATCTAGAAAACATTAAATCATAATAAAACTGACTTGTCATATACATTAGAGGGTATCTCTATTCATTAAAAATATTTTTAAGATTAAGAATATGTAATACTGCACTGTAAGGTATGTTTCACGACCATGTACATTCTGTTTTTAAGTCAAATTTCCATAAAAAAAAAGTCTGAATTCATTACTGCTACTGGATTTCCCTCGGAGTTGTAGAACTGAAATAAAAACATTTTCCAATTCCTTAGGCAGCCTGAGAATTTCCCTCTAAGACAAAGACCTATCCACATCAAGTCACACAATAAGAGTCCAATAAAAGTATCTGAAGTGCCAGGTCAAAACTAGAACAAAATACCCAGGAATGATGGCTTTTAAAAAAAGCCAGTTTGATTAAAGAGGAGGTAGGAAATAATCTCATTCCAAATCTATGTCTTTTACTAGTTATTAAATGAAAACTTCAAGTATTCTTTTTAAGACATTCTTTGAATGAAAATCTCATAGGCCTTGTAAAGCTTTAAATTCATCACTTGGTAGAAGCTTAATCCTTTCAAGAAGGTGGTAAACTAAAAGAGCCTTCTCTGTGTTAAGTCTAAACTAAAGAATTTCTAAACTATAGCATGGCTCCACTTTAAAAATACAAAAAAGTTCACACTTTCCATCAGTCCCTGATTAAACTATAAGAAACTATTATCTCTATAGGGTTTTATTCAAGTGAAGATACAAGAAAGACTGGGTATGTTTGTTTTATGATATTTGATATTACACATTTACTGTGCTCCAGATGCTGTGTTAAAATGTCTACAATATCTGTTTTAATCTTTACAACTCAAAAGATAGGTGTTACTACTAGCCTTGTTTTAAAGATGAGTTTTATATGTTAATTGAAAGGTTTCTAAGTTAGAAGTAGAGTTGTAAGTATTGACATCATGACTAACCCCAAAGCTCATGTATTTTCCTTCATATGCTATCACTACAACAATAAGAAATTAGAGAAATACATAAATTTAAAAAATTAGATCTTGCACTTTCATTTTTCTCCTAAAATAATGAGGCAAAGCTCTGTAATACACCATCTAGAAATATCAGTAGAGTAGACGGAGGGTAGAAAGTACAGTCAGGGGATTAAGTTAACTAAAAAAGGAAAACTACTTTGGGATAACTTCAGAGGGTATATTTTCTTTTTTTAAAAAAAAAAAGGCAAAAACAAAGGTCTCAATACTAAAGAAAAATGACACTAACTCACAAATTCAGGAACTGTGGATATAATACAGTATGTTCCAATACATCCCCTTATTAAGTCAAGTGAATAAATTGTACTTACCATGTAAAAACATTTACATTAACATTTCAAAAAACTAAAATTTCAGATGTGAAAGAACTTTTGAGGTCATCTAATTTCCCTTAAGAACAGGCCTAAATCCTTTCTATACCATCCTCAGATATAACCAACTGCCTGTGCCTATTCTGGCAGCCAGTGATGTTACCAAAGTGTGGTATATCCATTCAATGGAATACTACTCAATAGGAACAAGGGATGAACTAATGACATACACCCATATGAATTTCAAATGCATTATGCCAAGTGAGAGAAGCTAGAATTAAAAGGCTACATATTGCCTTTCAGGAAAAGGCAAAACTACAGAAACAGAAAACAGATTAGTGGTTGCCAGGAGATGAGAGTATTAAGCAGGGGTGGGAAACATCCGGCCAGTGGGCCTTATACGGCCCGTGAAATCATCTGGTCTGGCCCTGCCAAGGCATTAGGGGTGAGCTAATTAAATGTCTGACCAAATACAGCAGGCTAATTTTTAAGTTGATGATTTTGTATGACCCGAGAACAATGTTATAAATATCCAAATTGCCCTTGGCAGAAAAAAGGCTCCCCACCCATGTTAAACAATTAACTTGTTCGTGATCTCAGAATCCTAAAACTTCTGGTGGGCAGGTGTAAAGTAGAAGTAGGTGGGCAAAGTTACTTCTCAAAGGGCTGAGAAGAACCTTTTTTACTTGTCTAAATCAATCATCAATCAAGACTGAAAAAATGGTACAAAGGAAAGAACGAACACAGGGAAAAGCCTATGGAGTACAGAAACTACCTGCTGACAAATTATGAGCAAGCTCGCAGGGTTCTGGCGCACTTCTGAAGAGAGATGTCCATTTGAAAGAGTTAAACTGAATGCATATTTAATCACATGGGCCCAGTGTGTGACTGTGGCTGAGTACTGCGAAGATGAAAGGAAGAATATTCACTGGAACCGGATTTGAGTTTTCCTCAGCCCATCCCCTCATGTGAGAGATAGGATGTCGTGGAAGTCCTAACCTCCAGTACCTCTCAGATTGTGACTGCTTTGTAGGTGGGTTGTCAAAGAGAGAATTAAGTTAAAATGAAGTCTTGAGGGTGGGCCCTAATCCAAAGTGACTGATGCCCTTATAAAAGGAGACTAAGACAGCAGCTGAGTAGCTGCAAGAGCAAACTTATGGCCTACAAAGCTTAAATATTGCTATCTGGCCTCAGAAAAAAACCGCTGACCTGCTCTAGATCATAATCTATCTCCTTATTCTTACCCATTTATGCTCCTTTTGTCTTCACTTCCTTCCCTCTGGAGTTTTAGTTCGAAGTCTATCCCTTCAACCATTCTTTTGCCAATGTATTCAATTTTCTTGTCCCTTGTTTTCCATGAATTCAAGTATTAACTATTTTCATTCTGTTTAGCAAGTGTTCAGACCAGTGCTTCTTACTAAACTCATGGTCACACATGTCAACCAGACCCTTAGCTTTTCTCAATCCTACCATTTCTTAGTTTGTCCTCCTGTTCATTTGTTATAAATCTTCTCTACTTTTTGTAAACCTCTCACACACTCTTAGCAGATAATTTTGTCTCAAACATAAAGCTATCATATTAAATACCTACCACCAAATTGAAAACCTAACCTACAAACCCATCACCTAACTTCCTATATTCTCTCTTGGTAACAATAAAAGACTTGCTCCCCCTGTCATTCTCTAGCTGTGTTCAGAATCCAATTCCTATCACGTTTTCAGATACCTTCCTATTTTGTATATCTCTACTTTCTCATTTTCATTTGCTCCTCCTCAAAAAAATACATCCCCCCACACACACTTCCTTCACCCTTTGTGTCCTGTCAGCTGTTACCCTCTAATCCCACTCCCTCACCTTCACAACCCAAGCTTCCTGAAAGTTGACTATACTTAGTTTTCATTTTCAACTCATGTCTATGTTTCTCTCCTCACCTCTCTTCTGAAACTGCTTGCAATAAATTCTCAGTGATCTGTTTGTCACTAAATTCTTCAATTCTCTAGACATTAATCAGTAATGATGAAGGGTCCTTACTTCTGAAAACCATTTCTCCTCTTTGTTTCCACTGGCTTCTCTGCTACCATTAGGACAACTTTTCTGAGTTTCCTTTTCAGGATTCTATTTTTCTACCAGTTTTTTTTAATGTTGCCATTCTTCAGAGTTCCATTTTAAATCCTCTTCTCACTCTGCATAAAGTCCCTGGATGAGCCTTCACTCAAATGTCTTGAGTGCCATCAGTACTATATGGTGCTGCCTCTCAATCTATATATCAAACCTATACCACCAGCTTAAGCTCCAAATCCACACACCTGTCTACTAGCCACCTTCACTTGATTGCCTAACAAATAAATCCAGAAGTGAACCCTCCATCTTCTAAAACTGCTTCTAGTCTCGTTTTTTAAACTACAACTGTGGGAGTCATCTTTTGATTCTCCCTTTTTTTTCATCCCTTACATCCAAACAAGAACCAATTCCTGCAGATTTTAGGTCGTAAATATTTCCTGAATACACCTACTTCTCTTAAACTCCATTGTTAGAACCCTTGTCTGGGTAACCTTCCTCATGTAGCCAGGTGGCTGTGACAGTCCTCTAACTAGTCTCCCCAATTCCAGTTTTGCTACTCTCTAACCCAGGGGTCCTCAAACTACGGCCCGCGGGCCACATGCAAATACAAATATTGTATTTGTTCCCGTTTTGTTTTTTTACTTCAAAATAAGATATGTGCAATGTGCATAGGAATTTGTTCATAGTTTTTTTTTTAAACTACAGTCCGGCCCTCCAACGGTCTGAGGGACAGTGAACTGGCCCCCTGTTTAAAAAGTTTGAGGACCCCTGCTCTAACCCATCTTCTAAACTGAAGAACAAATTTGATCACAAGAGTCCTAATTAAGTCCTTCAAGTGCCTTCTCATAACTCCGAGGATAAAGTGTAAACTCCTTAACATATATTACAAGACCTTGTAACAAATTTTACCATCTCTTCCCCCCTGGCTAACTCTCTAGTTGTATCTATAAACATTAATTTCCTCCCTCCAAATACTAGCCAGTTATTTCATTTCTCAAATGTGGCATATTCTTATCTCAGAAACTTTACATGCAAGAGGCAACCAACCTCCCCCTTCCCGCCTCCCTTCCACTCTCACTTAAAAAAAAAAAAAAATGGAAAAAATATATCCTCAGGTAAGGATTAACAAAAAAATAAATAAAATGAGAATAATATTATCTTTATTAAATAACTATTTTAAAAATTACAGTTAACATAAATAAAGCCCCTAGTACAAGGCAGGTATTTCAGTAAGTGATATAAACAATAGTTGTTATCTTCAGATATTTGATCCAGGAATTTAATCTGAAATTACGTCAAAAACAAACTCACCTTAAAACATGGCAATAACTTTTGAACAACTTTTCTTTCTTTTCCTTTACATCTACTAATAAGTAATATCTGATTGTTTCCAGGTACTAGTTTTGTATTGTTTGGTGGGGTGAAGAGAAAGGTAGGAGAAGGATAAAGAAGACATAATGCAAAATAATAATAAAATGTTTCAGCTGTTAAAAGATGATCTAGTTATAGAATCTGCTCTGATGACAAAGTCCAAAACAATTTTGCACCTGAAACTGAGAGATTAGGCTCATTGGACAAGGAATTCCCCTGTACTTAAAGAAGAAATCTTTTACCTCTATAGTTCCTACTCCTTCTCTCAGGATTTCAAGGGCATTCTGTACTTTGTACTGCACATCTCAAAGTTCCCATTAATACTGGGAAGACCCAGCAAGAATCAGTTATGTTGATGTATGTTTCCCCATGAATTCTGATCCTTTCAGTAAGTGTAGAACATAAGCAGAAAATGGGAAACTAAAAGTAAAGGGAAGGGGATAAAAGAAGGAAGCTGGTGGAAAATAATCTAAATGACACTACATGATTAGTATCAAAAGATAAGTAGGTCAGAAAAAAATAACATGCAAATAACTAGAAATCAACTTGCAGTTATAAATATTGTAGCTACAAATACTCGATATTAACTTCTTTTTAATCACTTGAACTTCCTTTAAAATTAGCTTACCAGAATCATAGCTTGGAGGCTTCATATCTCCCTGATTCAATTCTGTCCCATATTTCAACTTGTGGTATTTGGCTCTAACAAAGAAATGAGAAAATACAAACCATCTTAAAACATATTTAAGTAAACTTTTATATATGCAATAGGAGTAGTCATCAGTTTGCAGTAGTCCTAGGTAACTTTCAAAGGCCCATAGCCTTCCAAGATGTGAAAGTCATAATACAAAAGCATTTGCCATTACTATTTTGTTGTTAGCCCATGAAGTGCTATTATAACAAATAAAGGACTAACACTGGGAACCATACATCTTCTTTCTGTACTTACTAATGAACCATATTAACATGCTAGCTTTTGTTGTATTCAAATTTTCTTGATAACTGCCAGAGTATTTTATTATCAAAAGCAGCAGAAAAGTTTGGATTGTAAACTTGTAAAAGACTGACCTTTTTCAAAATCGAGTTTTTTAAAAAGAAAAATCATCTATAATACGTTATGTCTTGTCAGGCAATTATGATTTTCCAAGTATGCATTATATTGAACAATCCAAAGTACGGAGGGGGAACCAGCCCAAATCATGAATATTGAATAAGATACTCCAGCAGAAATAAATAATTTTTTTAATAGTCAAAGTATCCTTTGCCTTTCTTTGCAGGAAGAACTCAGGAAAAACTGTGAACAGGAATTCTTGTCTTCTCTTCTTTTAAAAGTTATATGAATGTTACTATTTCTGGTTCATCTGACTTAACCATCTCAGATTTAACCATCTGAAACCAGAAAAATAAACTAGATAAGGTAAAAAATTTTAAGATTAACTAAAAATGGCCATGCTTACTTAATTTTTTTGTGTATTTTAATTTGTTTGCTTCCCTGAAATATTGAGGCCATTTACAATAAATATTCAATATAATGAGACTGGAATAATAACAATTTGAAAAGCTACGTAATAAAGAAGTAATGAAAGAGTAACATAGGGAGCCCTAGACAGTTTGGCTCAGTGGATATAGCATTGGCCCTCGGACTGAAGAGTCACAAGTTCGATTCTGGTCAAGGTCATATGCCTTGGTTGCAGGCTCCCTGGGCGCGTTCGGGAAGCAACCAATCGATGTGTCTCTCTCACGTCGATGTTTCTCTCTCTCTCTGTCTTCCTCCCTTACACTCTCTCTAAAAAATCAATGGAAAAATATCTTTGGGTGAGAATTAACAGCAACAAAAAAAAAAGAGAGAGAGAGGGAGAAAAGAATAATGTAGCCACTCTGAAAGCTTTTTTTGAACATTATTTTTATCCTTATAAAAAACTAATTGAGCACTTACTATAAGCTTTTTATATTTCAAGGAAAGTATAAAGAAAATCAAATTTATTTGCTCAACTATATGAAGTACTGGTATTCTTCATATTATTTTACAATGATTATTTTGCAGTTACAACAGAAAAGTCAATGTTTTATATAGATGGGAATCTTAAGAAAACCTATAAAAATTATAGACAGCTGATGTTCTATTTCTTAGAGTAGGTGGTGGGTACATCATTATTTTTTATATTAGTCTTTATGTTCTGCATAGATAGAAAATGTTTTGTAATAATATCTATCCATTAAAAAGAAAAAAAATATTTGTTTGCTAATATGGATTGATCTCTAAGCTTAAGTAAAAAAGCAAAGTACAAAATACTATGTATTTATGTGGTTTATATGTATGTTATGTATATTTCATATGCCCTGAATATTTCTGGATACATGATACATAAAACATCAGTTAAAATGATTTCCTTTGGGAAGGGGAATCAGTGAACTGATGCAGAAGGGAAACTACTTTGTGTTATTTGGAGAATTAACCATATGTATATATGTCTTTTTAATTATTTTTAGTAAATTTTTGTCCCAAATAATTTAGAACATTTTTTCTCTATTCCCAATGCTTCTCTTAATCAAAGATTTCCTCACCATATTAAACATTTCCTAGTCTACCTCAATGTCTTTGTATTAATCCTATCTAATAATAGAGAAACATGGTAATTAACCATAACTTCGCTCCCCTTCTCATTGGCTAATCAGCAAGATATGCAAATTAACTGCCAACCAAGATGGCGGCCGGCAGCCAGGCCCCTGAAGCGAACAGGAGGCTTGCTTGCTCCAGTGACGGAGGAAGCCAATGTTCCCCGCCTGCCGCTGCTGGGCTTTGAGCTGCTCTCTAAGAAACATTGTTGGAAATATAGAAGGTAAACAATCCCCAGAAACCTGCTTTCAGTCAGCCGGGATCTCAGAGCTGGAGTCGCAACAAAGTTTCAAATACAGAAAGTAAACAAAGCCCAGAAACCTGCTTTCAGCAGCCGAGGTCTCAGAGCTGGAGCCGAGCCTCAGAGTTAAAGCCGGCTCTCAGGTCCAGTGACAGGCATAGAAGCTAAATAAATCCCAGAATAAAAAAAAAGTTAAAAAGGAGAGGTTGGGAGCCTCAGTCACCCGCCAGCCTGAAAACGGCCCTCAGCCCCTCACCCAGACTGTCCAGGCACCCCAGTGGGGACCCCCACCCTGAAGAGGGTGTGACCAGCTGCAAACAGCCATCATCCCCTCATCCAGGCTGGCCAGGCACCCAAGCGGGACCCCCACCCTGATCCGGGACACCCTTCAGGGCAAACCAGCTGGCCCCCACCGGTGCACCAGGCCTCTATCCTATATAGTAAAAGGGTAATATGCCTCCCAGCACTGGGATCAGCGGAGCCGCAAGGCCTCCCGAACCCGGGATCAGCGGAGCCACGAGGCCTCCCGGCACCAGGAACAGTGGAGCAGCGAGACCTCCCGGCACCGAGATCAGCGGAGCCGCAAGGCCTCCCGGCACCGGGATCAGCTGAGCAGTGAGGCCTCCCAGCACTGGGATCAGCAGAGCCGCGAGGCCTCCTGGCCCCTGGAGCAGCGTGACAGGGGGCAGCGCCCCGACCCCTGATCCGCCCTGCTCTGTGCGTGACAGGGGGCAGCGCCCCGACCCCTGATCCGCCCTGCTCTGTGCGTGACAGGGGGCAGCGCCCCGACCCCTGATCCGCCCTGCTCTGTGCGTGACAGGGGGCAGCGCCCCGACCCCTGATCCGCCCTGCTCTGTGCGTGACAGGGGGCAGCGCCCCGACCCCTGATCCGCCCTGCTCTGTGCGTGACAGGGGGCAGCGCCCCGACCCCTGATCCGCCCTGCTCTGTGCGTGACAGGGGGCAGCGCCCCGACCCCTGATCCGCCCTGCTCTGTGCGTGACAGGGGGCAGCGCCCCGACCCCTGATCCGCCCTGCTCTGTGCGTGACAGGGGGCAGCGCCCCGACCCCTGATCCGCCCTGCTCTGTGCGTGACAGGGGGCAGCGCCCCGACCCCTGATCCGCCCTGCTCTGTGCGTGACAGGGGGCAGCGCCCCGACCCCTGATCCGCCCTGCTCTGTGCGTGACAGGGGGCAGCGCCCCGACCCCTGATCCGCCCTGCTCTGTGCGTGACAGGGGGCAGCGCCCCGACCCCTGATCCGCCCTGCTCTGTGCGTGACAGGGGGCAGCGCCCCGACCCCTGATCCGCCCTGCTCTGTGCGTGACAGGGGGCAGCGCCCCGACCCCTGATCCGCCCTGCTCTGTGCGTGACAGGGGGCAGCGCCCCGACCCCTGATCCGCCCTGCTCTGTGCGTGACAGGGGGCAGCGCCCCGACCCCTGATCCGCCCTGCTCTGTGCGTGACAGGGGGCAGCGCCCCGACCCCTGATCCGCCCTGCTCTGTGCGTGACAGGGGGTGGCACCGCAATCTCCCCATTGACCCTGCCTTGAGTATGACAGGGGGCGGCGCCCCAACCCCCCAATCGGCCCTACCATGGGCTTGACTGAGGGTTGCATGGCAACCTCCTGATCCTCCCTGCTCTGTGCATGACAGGGGGGAGCTCCCAACCCCCTGATCGGCCCTGCTCTGTGTGTGACAGGGTACGGAGCCCCAACCCCCTTGATGGGCCCT